AGCGCCAGGTTCCTCTTCCTTATAGATTTAGTACAAATCGGTTATTGTTATTGCCGAAGCGGTGTCAGGGCGACTGGAATTGATCGCGCTTCCGTGGGACACGGTGATAACTTCCAGTTCTTTCGTTTGGAGGTGAGATAGATAATTCACTCAGGGCAGCTTTTTGCCGTTTGCCAAAGAGATTTGACTTGAATTTTTACTTTTTTTTTCTTGTTTCAGATACCGAAGATGCAGCGGCTGGCGAAAGCCCATTCACTGTTGACAGTACCCCCAGAATGCAAGAGAATGAAGTGGAGGCAAAGGAAAGTCAATCGGTCGCGACATAAAATCAGGCGCTGTGGCTGTTTTTGTGGTGCTGGTTGAATTTTTGGGCGTTTGTTTCTTCATATAGGTTTTTGTTACATACGGTGTTGCTAGCGCCCTTATTTTTATGCCGGCGTAGTTAGCCAGGTGGCTAAGTAGCATATAAAAATTACTGACATAATATGTCAGAAAATTTCGTTTTTTCGGAAATCGAACGTGTAAAAAGCATCTTTTTTCGTTTACCTGAACTTCTAGAGCGCACTTTTGAACTTGAGAAGTTTCAAAATATACCTTGGAACTTGAGACAAAGGGTATTTTTTGCAAGTTGGGTTTTTGAAAAAACGATAATCGTAGCTAGGATCTAGAATAGTTTTCGCTTTCCTCCTGATTTCCATCTTCTTTTCGCCCTTTCCTTCGGTTCCTAGTGGCGTCGAGGAGTACAGCCCTGGACATTACTTAGATAAGGTTTTGTCTTGGTCGCTGGGTGATCTTCTATGTCCCTCTGCGCTCTTGTTTCTGTCTCTGGTACCATGGCTTTTTTTGCCAGCATACGGTAAATTTAATTGCCATTTATACCGTCCCGATTTTTTGCTGCAAAAAGCGAACTGGTATTTTTCTGGCACACTGGAAACGAACAAGCGTCGATAACCATAAGTTACGTAATGCAGTAATTTTCCCACATAAAAAGCAGAAAATTTGATAATGTGAGAGTTGAACAGGAAAGAAAGAAGGGATTAAAAAGAACCATGTGGACCGAGAACATGGTAATATGATTATAAAAAATTTGCTTTTTTAATGTTTTGAGGCTTCGAAAGTCTGTGCGAAAAAAATGGGCCTTTTGGTACATGGAGATGCTTTCCTGTAACTTGCAGTGATCATTAATGGGTATGCGTTTTCCTTGGGTTATATCGCGTAATTTTGTTTCGTGCAGCCACTTTTGTATTCTTAATATTACCATTGGCGGATCCAGGACGGACTCCTAGGAGAGGGAGGAGAGGGGAAATGGAATGGAATGCTGTGAAAGGAAAGACCGGGAAAACAGGGAGTGAAACAAGATAGTAAAGCAGCATATGTTGTGAAAAAGGTTCAGGACATGTAGTGAGGACCAGTGTGAAGGCTGAATATTGACTTAGCTTTCTGTGTTTCATCCCGAAGCTGCAAACACAAACAGTATTGGTATGGATTGAGGTGGGAATCATCAGTGCAGTCCCCAAACCACTGTGTAGAAAAGTTAGGTTCCTTGAGGGAGCGACGCGGAATGGGAAGGAGAGTTCCTTCCGACCTTGGACCGTGCAACAACTAGGAATAGAGTTATAACACAGCTACTTTGGTTTAGAATTATTTTAGGCTTTAGTTTACTTAGGTTTAGCGTTACTTTTGCAACACTGGTGCCTATGTCGTTGGCGAGGAGGGGGCGGAAGACCTATTCCCTCCTCCTCTCCTTTCTGGATCTGTCTATGAATATTACCACTGCTGGAAAGAAGCGTAGCATTATTCGGTAAATGAGGTTGTTGCATAGCAAACGTGCGGCATTTCCTCTTACGAAACGACTGATCCTTTCCTTTTTGTATTTCACATTTATTCAAAATTAGCATTGTGGAATTATGAAATTGTCTGATTTTACGCCATCTGGGCTAATTTTAAGCCTTTGCCCTTGCACTTTTTTGCCTCAGTTTTTGCACTTTTCGTACACCGGCTCTTTCATGAAAGAGAAGTCTTTCTGTTCCTCTTCCCCGCTTCTTTGCTACACTTCGTACGTACGCTTCTGGTGCTTATAAATGTTGAAAAGTTTTGCTCACTTCGGGAAACGAACGTTGGTACTTTAATGGCTTCAACTGTGCATATTGCGAACAAGAGTTCCTTTTCCGAAAGATGTGGACCGTGAGGAAATCGAATCTTTTATCTTTGTTATCGCTGGATTCTTCGAATCTTGATGAGAAATTCTCATAATGTTGTCGGCTTCTGTTGGAACCTATGAATTTTTATGTGCATGGTACCCACGTGTGATTTTACTTCAGCAGATGGGCATTTTTGTAATTTTTGCTGGCTTTTCTGGGGGATATTTTTGAAATTTCTAGCAAAATTCGCGTCTTTACGCAAGAATCTGCTAATTTTATGTTAGTAATGGAGAAGTTGCACGTACCAACGGCTCTTGGTGACCTTTCGGGCTACAAAATATCCAGTTTTTTTTAGTGACGGTCTTGCCTCGGTTCCGCCCGTTGAGTGTTGTGAGGACGTGTTTTTGTCTTGTTTGTACTGTTTTTTTAGCTTTCGGAGGAAGTCTTTCTGGTGCGATACTGCTGGATGAGAGATTTGTTTCTTCTTTCATTATTTGGTGTTTGGCTAGCCACTGATAAAATAGCCAGCCGAAATTCTCTTCATTTTTTAGCGTTTTTCTCACGAAATGCCACTTGTATTATCTTTTTCAGTAACGTACAAAGTTCCTCTGGGCAAAAAAATCGGGGTCATCTGAAACCTGGCGCAGCTGCATCGGATAGGGCAGGCTTTTCCGTTTTAGCCTTAGTTTTTTGAAATTCACGTTATTATCCTAAATAGTAGCAGCATTGTGGGTAAAAATTTTTCGCATTTTAGTGATCTATTTCACTTTTTTAGTTGATTTTTTTTGCTTTTGTGATTAATTTTAGCAAGTATGGCATGTTGGAAAATTGAGCTTTTCTCATGTTTGAGGGCAAAGTTTCGTTTCTGCCACTGGGAATCCCTCTACGATTCATTCATTTGAGAGTAGTTGAGGTTTTAATGCTTGGCTTTTTTTCTTTTGGAG